ATTGAATGTCAATTATGTAATACTATCTGCTGCAAAGTTAAAGGCTCCAGCTGTTCTCTTGAATAGCTCTGCCCTAAGCTGCTGCTTCTACCTTCTGGCTTGCTCTTGGAAAGCATGTCCACTGGTCTTGATGATGGTGTTGAGAGCCAGGCAACCCCTCTTGAGTTGGAGACAGCCTCTGAGGCTGGAACAGCTGACAGGAGTGTTGTCACAGAAGTGACTGCGGCCACATATGAGGGGACGCTTACAGAGAGCGAAAGGCTCTTGCAGGTTGTGAAGGACTGCTTCAAGCGTGCCTTGTTTCAAGTGACTGCATGAATTCATTGCTTCATGAGCAAAGGCATTTGTCCAAAGCTCCTTCTGCTAATCTGCTTCAGGCGCTGGCGGCCCAGGCAACTATCTGAAGGAGCTCTTGTCTTTGCAGAACAAGAAGAATGAGTTTGCAGAGCACTTGCGAGACTGCCTGGGAAGTGATGATGTGGCTTACGTCACCAAGCCGTCCGAACAGGTAACCTGCCGCAAGAACCCAGAAGAGCAAGTGGGACCTATGGCCTTGCATCTGAGCAAGTTTGCATTTGATGAGAAGGTTTGTTCCAGAAATGGACCAGTGCAGTTGCACAAGTCCCTGACGCTTCTGGACCATATCAGCAAAGATGGGTTTGTCTCCTCGTTGGAACCGGTTTTGGCTAGAAAGCCGCAGGAGGCGCCGCTTTCCCTGATGAAACTTTGCAAACTTCATTAAGTAATGTTGCTTGATGATTTTCCATGATGAGGGGTAAGCAATGATGGCGAGGAGTTCGGGACTTTCAGTGTCTGCTACCTGAAAGGCCACGCGCGGGTGGTCACGCTATTGGCAACCCTGGGTGTGCTGTGGGAGAAGCATATTCCAATGACTCAGGCGCCAGAAGCGTTTCATTTTTTGAAGTTGAAAAATAGAAAAATTTCAGCAGAGAATAGTTTCCTCTGTGGCAGGTATTCACCAGCGCGGCCACAGACTGCTTTTAATAGCAGGTTCTGGCATGAATTCCTATCCGAGGTTTTACAACTTCAAGGTCAGTTCCAGAGGCAGCATCCGCGAGCCCCCGAACCCCATCACCTGGGTCTATGCATTGAACAGACTTGGAAGCGCTTTCCAGGACTCCTCCGAGGTCATCCGAAATTGGAATGATGTTAGCATCAAGGCTGACAAGCTTGTTGGTGGAAAATATTTGGCAGTGAAGAACCTGCTTCAACTGGCGGGGCCAGTGCAAGACGAGATCCTGCTCCGGGTGAACAGCCTGGGATTCAAAGGCTCATGGTTTTTTTGCATGTTGTGGCAGGTGTTTACTCTCCATGTCAATGTGCAGAAAAATGTTCCAACAGAAGTTCAGGTTTTCCACGCATCTAGATCTATCTGTTGCCGCTTGAAGGCTCTGCGTTCACAGACGACAACCTCAGCTCCAAGAAGCTGGTGCCGGGTTTCCAGTTCAAAATGACCAAAGCGCCGAAGAGTTCCAAGTGGAACACAAGCTATGGGAAACTTACAGAAGAAAGCGCTTTGTTGGCTTTGCAGTTTGTCACTGCAACCTTCCTCAATGCGCCTGCAAAGCTACGACAGAAGCCGACAAAGCAAGACTTGGAGGAGAAGTTGGAAATGTGTGCCATGCCTAGTCTTGTATTCATGCCTAGTGGGGTCCTCATATCTTGTTGTAGTTTTGGAGCTTGACAGGCTTTTTCTCAGACATTTGGTTTTTATTTGAACATTTTTTGTTATTACGTTTTTACTTGATTGGTGTGACACATGAGGCGCGCTGGCATGGGCCCTTCGCAATG